TTTTTTTCAGTATTTTGTGTTCCACCAGATTTATTTGAAGATCTCCTGTCCTGCATCCACTGCCCAATGCAGAAGGCCACACATAGGACAACCCACATGAGAACTTCACTTCTCCAGCCTGATTATATCATCATGAGAATATAATTTTCCTTTCATCATCAAAGATTTTTACATCAGATTAACAAGCTCTCTTGCTTACCCATGTTTTTCCCTGGTTTTTGTACCTTGAAATGGGTGTGCACTCTTCCCAGCCTTGATCTCCATCTTCCCCCATATTTCCAAACATATTCATCTGGGAAACATGTAAAGATCTTATTCGGGGCTTGTTTCATTGTTTTCAAATATCTGCCCTTGAAATTCAACTTCCACCACTGTCTCTCATATCCAAAGCTATGTGCTTGCAGAGGATTTCTGCTGAGAAATTTCACAGAAAGCTCTTATACTGCACGTGAATGATGCCAGCAAGTCTTGACTGAATAGCTTAGGGAACAGGACTCAGCCAAATGACTGACATGACAAGCGAAAAGCGTATGCTCAAGGATAGGACATGGCAGAGGTCATCTGCCAGGCCCTGGCATATTTAATATCCCATTGAAAGTACATCAATGTGTAGATTGGCAAGCATTTCCATCCACTAATTCTGAGCAGTGAAGCCTTCAGAGAGAATATTGTGGCATACCAGGCCAAGAATATTCATCCTATTTAAATTTTGCCCTACAAGGTCCTCTGTGGCACTGAGGTCTCCATGGCAACGCCCAGCATTGTGACTCAGGTCTCCTACTGCACACTTGTATCCTAGAGCCTAAAGTCCAGCTCACAATGGTGCTCAGCCAATCACAGCCCATTGTGGTTGCCTGGCAACCACAAGCTTGTGGATTTCTGTGAACTGTTTCAGCCCAACTCTGCAGCTTTCCACCTCATACAACCACAGCCATTCCAATCATGCAGTATTTGATTAGCCTCTCTATGTTGCCTCAGAATTTTTTTTTACAGTTTTAGTGATCAAGAAAATTTGACATATTTTGAGAAGTGGAGGGAAGTAATTGGAAAACCTTTTGGTATGTCTGAGGTCTATGGGTTCCAAACTTGACTATCCCAGTCTTTTAAATTTTCTAACCTAGAGCCTAAAATCCACCTCACAGGGATGTTCAGCCAATCTCAGCCCAGTGTGGTTGCCTGGCAACCACAAGCCTGTGGATTTCTGTGAAGAGTTTCAGCCCAACTCTGCAGCTTTCCACCTCATACAAGCACAGCCATTCCAATCATGCAGTATTTGATTCATCTCTCTAAGTTGCCTCAGAATTTTCTTTGAACTTGTGGTGATCAAGCATATTTGACATATTTTGACAAGTGGAAGGAAGTAATTGGCTCTGTCTTTAGCTCTGTTTGTGGTATATGGGGTCCAAAGGTGACTAGCCCAGTCTATTCAGTTATCAAACTTAGAAAGCCAAATGTTTCAAGGGAGGAAAGAAAATGCCACAATGATTTGGGTTCTGCCAAGTTTCTGGTGGCTTGGGAAGCAAACCTGCAAACCATACATGCAGTCTCTGCTGGATTACTGCCACCATGGTAGTATTAGTTAGCACTAAAAGCCAGCAACCAGAAGATGAGACCCAAAATGAAAGTGAATCCTTGCAGTGCATGAATATTTGGAGTGCCTGCTTCAACTATCCAGCTTCCTCGGGGTTCACTTGTCTGCAATCGCTATTTCAAGGAGGTCTGCAGCCATTCCAGCATAACCCTGAACACTAAACATGAGGTACTAGCTCAATACCTTATCACCAGCAGGTTTTCCAGGAATTCAACTGTAACATGGTGAAAGGGAAACCCTTAGAAAAGGGATGCAAATGCCCCTTTCACTAGAAATCCCAGGTATTTTCTCATGGCATGGAATATTTAGACTCCACAACTCATGTAGTGAACCCAGGGACCTAGACCAAGTGTGTCTAGTTTAATGTTGTCCTATTTTTGGAAACAGCATCTTATGTAGTTGTTGAAAGAGGCCTTGAGATCAATTCGTAGCCCAAGATGGACTGGAACTCCCAAGGATCCATCCAGCTCAGCCCCCAGATTGCTGGGATTATAGGCATGAGGGCCATGCCAAGCATGTGCACAGAGATTCTTACATAATTTGTGAAATCCCACTACTGGTCTATAGGTAGCTTCTGTGCTTCAGGCTTTAGGAATATGCCTCTCTTTGTTTGGCTCCCCTTGTTCAGGTGTCCATTTCTATTGTGATAAGCTCCAAGGCCCCAGGCAAGGGAGTGGCTGCACTTCCTCTTGTGTGTCCTTGGATGATTACAGCCCAGGTCAACAGGGTTCAAATATATTGGATCCTGTGCATTTGAAGTGGAAATGAGTAAAGATTCATGAGTTAATGTGGACATGCCAGGGAATTGAGGGGCCATGATAGAGACAAAACTTCAGGCCATGGGCTGAAGGCTGAGGATTCTGTACCTCTAGCTTCTTGAATAGTGGGTCTGCTGAGCAATTGTGTGCTCTCAAATGTAATTTGATGGGTTTTGTTTTAATTTATTTTGTTTTTTGCTTTGGTTTTTTACATGGAAGGAACTGTACCATGGTTTGAAGAAGCTGGAGTGTCTTACCTAAGAGAAATTTGCAAAAAGGGACAATTCAGCAGCCAAGAATTTCTCAAATGCCCTTGGCGTTTTAAAAAAAGTGACATAAAGTTGAGTGTGTCATGTCCATGTCTCTTTACAAAAGATTTTACCTCCTATTTGATAGGAATTACTGTTTCTTTGAAAGGTCAACCTGCACTGAAATAAAGATAATCCCTCCTTTCCTCATTCTGCTGGAAACCACATCCTTTGTTAGTTATATTTTCTTACGCAGCAACACTTGGAGATGACTACAGCGAGAGTTTCCCATTGGTGGAATTTCCACGGAGACCCATGAAGTAATACTGCACAATTTCAAGTGAAGTACACTGTCCCTTGACAATGGCAAGTCTGGGCAAACCTCTAGTAACTGAAAATCTTAGAAAGTCTGAAAGTGAGTGAATGAAAATGGGCCTCTCCACATTTGGACAGGGCCTCTCCTGAAGCACACATTTGTGGAAAAAGTAATTATGAGAGACGAATGAACTCCCAAAACGGAATGGAAATTTTCTTGTTTAGGCCTGGAACGCTATGGCCTGGAGCCCTGTGGTTCTAACTGGATGAGCAAAGTGTCAGCAGAGATCAAAGAAAAACACACACCATTTAGGGAACTCGATATTTAACCAGGTGTCCAGAGTAGTGGCAAACTGTACTTGTGTCAATTTGCTCAAATCCTGTCTTCACAAGAAAGTAAATTCCAGCACGACCAGTGACTAGAGGAGGACACATTTCAAAGGACTTGTAAAAAGTCCAACCCTGAAGTTAGCCCAACACTGAATTTAGATGAAAAGTAGCAGAGTCTGTTAGTCTTTCAAGTTTTAATAGGAGAAACTTATAGCATGCAATAGCTGTTACATGAATAACTTCAGAGCTTTTGGAGAGGTCGAAATCACTATGAGTGAGGGCTTCCCTGACTCGCAAAGTTAAAAATAGTAAAACAAACAATTTGCAAAACCAATCAACCAATTAAATACAAACACTAAGTCCAAAGGGTTTCACTGGTTTTAAAACCACTTATGGAATGCACAACTATTGATGAGGCTTACTCTGCATTCTGCTTTACTCAGGCCTGGTACATGAGCAACTGTGAAAGCAAAATTCAAAATGTTATGTGAAGTGACCATTTCATTGTTGAAACCATGACCCAATAGACATTTTCTCTTTTGAAACTTCATACATTATCCATATATGTTCTCAAAGGGAAGGAATACACAGGATTTAGGCTGAATTATTTTGTGAGAGTCGACCCCCCTGCTACAACCCCCTCCCCAGAGCGGGGAATGAAAGGGTTAACTCCCTAACTCCCCAGAGCGGCGGAATGAAAGGGTTAACTCCCTAACTCCCCAGAGCGGGGGAATGAAAGGGCTAACTCCCTAACTCCCCAGAGCGGGGGGAATGAAAGGGCTAACTCCCTAACTCCCCAGAGCTATCAGAACAGAGCAGTAAAGAATGCTTCACTCCCTAAACCTTTCCCAGGAGATAATCAGAGCAGGGCCAAAGGGAATGTCTCTGCTAGTCATTAACCACTAGATGTTCTGTTCTCTGTAAAGATAGAGATAAGCAAAGAATGTACTGTACAAACAGGACCAGGGGGCACCTGGCACTCTAAGGTCAACCCAAGACCCTCGGTCTCCATGGTTACTCAGCCCCAGACCCTCAAATCAGCATTAGCCAGGTCCTGCGCCGCTCAAAATTAACCAATGCGATTTGCTTCTGTAAACTTGCTTGCCTCCTGCGTGTACCTTTAAAAACCCTGCACAAATTCCCCTCGGGGCCCCTCCGCACACGTTTGCCTGAGGGACCCCATGCGCATGGAAATAAACTTTCTTTTCCTCACCAAGAGCTGAGTCCTTGGGGTCTCTTCCCCTGCGGCGTTGGCCCTAACATCGTGGAGGCCCCAGCGAGATTAGCACGTCTCACGGGAGGTGACCCCAACGGCTCTACGGGTGAGTACGACTGGTCGCTTTTCATACCACCGGTGTTTACGCCCCGAGCCATACGGCTCCGATCTAGGGGCAATTTTTGTTATCTGTTTCGTACTCTGTTCCCTGGTGACTGGGGGACGCCCCACACGGTTTCCGTGGTTCACCGTCTGCGATAGGGTCTCCCTATCGATCGGGGGATTTTGATTCCCAATCTGTGGTCCGTCTGGGCCAATCTGGAGACACCCTTTGAGGTGACTCATCTGGGGGATTTCGATTCCCAGTCTGTGGTCCGCCCGGGCCAATCTGGAGACACCCTGTAAGGTGTCTCATTTGGAGTGAAACTGATGCGTATGCATGTGAATGAAGTGGCCGGCCTGATTGTTTTGTGTGTCGTGGGTGCTGTGTTAGGTTATTTGTTGTACCGCGCTTGCGTTAACCACCCTGTGACAATAGAACGTCATGGGACAGTCGACCTCATCCCCATTGTCCCTCACCCTCGACCATTGGTCGGAGGTGCGGAAGAGGGCTCACGATCTCTCCTTGCAGGTCAAGAAGAGTAAGTGGCAGGATTTCTGCTCGACTGAGTGGCCTGCTTTCTCTGTGGGGTGGCCACCAGAGGGAACTTTTCATCTGCCCCTCATTCTAGCAGTTAAGGACGTCATCTTCCGCCCCGGACAAAGGGGGCACCCTGATCAAGTCGCTTACATCCTGGTATGGCAGGACCTCAGGGAGGAACCCCCATTATGGGTAAAATCCTTTCTTCCCCCTTCTGACTCATCTGTACCAAAGCTTTTAGCTCTGAAAGGACCTCCCACTTCGGCTCCGGTCCTGCCCGAGTCTCAGCCTGATCTACCCTTACTCGACTTTGACCAGCCTCCTCCTTCCCAGCCGACTCAACCTCCTCCATACCCACTCTCTCCTCCAGCCTCCTCGTCCGAATCGAGTGCTGCTTCTCCGTCAGCCCCCTCTTCACCTGAGCTAAATTCCTCTTCTCCTCCGGTACCCACGTCCCCTCTATATCCCCCACTCCCTGCGATGGCTTGCCCCGAGCCCACACCTCCGGGGCCCACGGGCCCAGCCCAGAACACTCGGAGCAAGCTACGGCCTGAGGATCCAGTCGTTGCCCTCCCTCTCCGTCCCTATGGGCCCATGATAGACGATGGGACAGATGGAGGGCAGATGCCCGCTTTACAGTACTGGCCTTTTTCTACCTCAGATCTCTATAACTGGAAAAACAATAACCCTCCTTTTTCTGATGATCCTTCTAAGCTAACAGGTCTAATGGATTCTGTTATGTTCTCCCACCAACCCACATGGGACGACTGTCAACAGCTCCTAGGGGTCCTGTTCACCACCGAGGAAAGAGACCGCATCCTCCTGGAAGCCCGGAAAGCTGTTCCCGGAGAGGATGGCAGACCCACCCAGAGACCAGACCGGATCGATGACTTCTTCCCCTTAAAGCGCCCCAACTGGGACCCCAACTCACCTGCTGGTAGGCAGCATCTTTCTATCTATCGCCAGACTCTAATGGCAGGTCTCCGGGCGGCCGCAAGGCGCCCCACTAATCTGGCCAAGGTAAGAGAAGTTACCCAAGGACCTACTGAGACTCCCTCAGTTTTTCTAGAATGCCTGATGGAAGCTTACCGGCGATATACGCCTTTTAACCCTGAGGAGGAAGGCCGAAAAGGCTCGATAGCTATGGCCTTTATAGGACAATCGGCCCCTGATATAAGACGTAAGCTCCAAAGGCTAGATGGTCTCCAAGACCTGACTCTGAGGGATCTTGTTAAGGAAGCTGAAAAGGTCTACTATAAGCGGGAGACAGAGGAAGAGAAAGAGTTAGCTAGGGACAAAAGACGAAACAAGGAATTAACTAAGATGTTGGCCACAGTTATTCAGGGAAAACCTGAGCCAGGAAAGGGAAAGCCCACTCGCCCTCCATTAGACCCTGATCAATGTGCATATTGTAAGGAAAAAGGACACCTGATCAAAGACTGTGAAAAGTTAAAAAAGAAACGGGCCAAAGAAGAACGAGAAAGACAGTCCTCACAGCGATCCCGAGCCCCCATGCTCGCCCTAGATGAAGAAGACTAGGGACTTCGGGGCTCGGATCCCCTCCCCGAGCTCAGGGTAATGTTTAAAGTGGAGGGGACTCCCGTGGAATTCGAGGTCGATACGGGAGCTGTTTATTCGGCCTTACAAGCCCCCTTAGGGGCCCTTTCAACTAAGAAATCATTAGTTCAAGGGGCTAACGGGAGCAAATATCGCTCGTGGACCACTGAGCGCACAGTTGACTTAGGCAAGGGAAAAGTAAAACACTCCTTTCTGGTTATTCCCGAATGTCCTGCTCCCCTCTTGGGACGGGACTTATTAACCAAACTGGGGGCAAAGATTTCCTTTGAGCCCCAAGGACCTCAAGTAACATTCCGTAACCCAAAGGTTGGGCAACCTATGGTTACGGTGTTATCTCTAAAACTGGAAGATGAATATAGGCTCTACGACCACCAGGATCCCCAGCCTATCGCCCCAGCCTGGCTGACTGATTTTAAAGAATCCTGGGCCGAGACGGCTGGACTCGGGCTGGCAAGCCAGCAACCGCCTGTAGTGGTTACTTTAAAAACCACTGCCTCCCCTATTCGGGTCAAGCAATATCCCATTAATAGAGAAGCTCACCTAGGGATTAAGGTGCACATACAGAGACTTTTAGACCAAGGGGTATTAACTCCTTGTCGGTCTGCATGGAATACTCCGTTACTCCCGGTCAAAAAGCCCGGGACGAATGACTACAGACCGGTACAGGACCTAAGGGAGGTCAATAGCAGGGTAGAAGACATTCACCCCACCGTACCCAATCCCTATAATCTCCTCAGTGGGTTAAATCCCTCAAGGACTTGGTATACTGTTCTGGATTTAAAGGATGCCTTTTTCTGTTTGCCTTTACACAAAGATAGCCAGCCCTTATTTGCATTTGAATGGACGGACCCTGAGACTGGGTCCGCCGGACAACTAACCTGGACGCGCCTCCCACAGGGCTTCAAAAACAGCCCAACCATCTTTGATGAAGCCCTACATAAGGATTTAGCCCCCTTTCGGGCTCAACACCCAAGCCTCACCCTTCTTCAATATGTAGATGACTTGCTGCTGGCTGCGGACTCTGAGGGTGACTGCACAAGCGGAACTCAGGACCTTTTACGTGAGTTGGCTATCCTGGGGTATAGGGCATCAGCAAAAAAGGCTCAAATTTGTAAGCGAGAGGTAATTTTTCTGGGCTACTCCTTAAAAGGGGGACAAAGGTGGCTCACTGAGGCCAGAAAACAGACTGTGGTCCAGATTCCCCCTCCAAAGAGTCAAAAACAATTACGAGAGTTCCTGGGCACTGCGGGGTTCTGCCGGTTACGGATCCCCGGATTCGCAACTTTGGCAGCTCCCCTATATCCGTTACTGAAGGGGGGATCTCCCTTTATCTGGAAAAAAGATCACCAGCAGGCCTTTGATGCCATCAAGCGGGCTCTCCTGTCCGCTCCGGCCCTGGCTCTTCCTAATGTGGATAAGCCCTTTACTCTCTTCATGGAAGAAAAAAAAGGAATAGCGAGAGGAGTGCTGACCCAGGCCTTTGGGCCATGGAGGCGTCCGGTGGCTTACCTCTCAAAAAGACTGGACACTGTGGCAAGCGGGTGGCCACCCTGCCTAAAGGCCATTGCAGCAGCTGCCTTGCTCATTAAAGACGCTGACAAATTGACTTTGGGACAGAAAATAACAATCATTGCCCCGCACACGCTAGAAAGCATCATCCGCCAGCCTCCAGATAGGTGGCTCTCAAATGCCAGAGTTACTCGTTATCAGAGCCTCTTGCTCAACAAGGACAAGATAACTTTTGGACCCCCGGTGACTCTCAACCCGGCGACCCTGCTGCCGGAAGAAGCTTCGGAACCCGTCCTCCATACCTGCCAGGACGTCTTGGCAGAAGAGGCCGGAGTACGACCGGACTTATTGGATTGCCCCCTACCCAATGCAGAGGTGACCTACTTCACTGACGGGAGTAGCTTTTTGATTCAAGGTAAGCGGTATGCGGGGGCGGCTGTGACTGATTATTCCAATGTTATATGGACAGCCAGACTAGAGGACGGGTCCTCGGCCCAAAAGGCCGAACTGATTGCTTTGACTAAGGCTCTGGAGCTCGCTAAAGGAAAGCGAGTGAACATTTACACGGATAGCCGATATGCTTTTGCAACGGCCCACATCCACGGGGCCATATACCGCCAGCGGGGGCTTCTGACCTCCGCAGGAAAAGAAATAAAACACAAACAGGAAATCCTCCAGTTGCTCGCTGCAGTTATGTTGCCCCAGAAGGTGGCGATAATACACTGTAACAGCCACCAGAAAGGGACTGATCCCGTCACAAGGGGAAACAACCTGGCCGATCAGGCAGCAAAATCTGCAGCCATGGGAGACTCACAGATGTTGGTGACTGATGTCAAAGATTCTCCTCAAAAGGAGAAAGCTCAGATTAACCAAACCCCTGAAACACCTGATTTGAATGCTTACATACAACAGGCCCACCGGCTCACTCATTTGGGAGCTAAAAAGCTAAGCCTACTGGCCCAACGCCAAGACTTCCCAGGGGCATCCCCCACTGCCATACGTCAGGTCACCAATCGGGTGGTGGCTAATTGTGAGGCATGTCAATTGACCAATGCCTACCCTGCCAAGCTGGCCCCCGGCAAAAGGCTACGCGGCACCAGACCTGGACAATACTGGGAAGTGGACTTTACAGAAGTTAAGCCTCCCCGATGCGGACTAAAATATCTGCTAGTTTTTGTAGACACCTTTTCTGGATGGACTGAGGCTTTTCCTACCAAAAAGGAAACCGCTGCCGTGGTAACTAAAAAATTGATGGAAGAAATATTTCCCCGGTTCGGATTGCCAAAGGTAATAGGGTCTGATAATGGACCGGCGTTTGTGGCTAAGGTAAGTCAGGGACTGGCCAACATATTGGGGATTGATTGGAAATTACATTGTGCTTATAGACCCCAAAGTTCAGGACAGGTAGAGAGAATGAATAGAACTATTAAGGAGACCCTCACTAAATTGGCTCATGAGACTGGCTTAAAAGATTGGACGATGCTCCTGCCGTATGCCCTTTTTCGCGCGCGAAACACACCGTCTTCCAAACCCCCTAACCTTACTCCCTTCGAAATCCTTTTTGGCACCCCACCCCCCATTCGAGATCTCACTCCCTTAACTGAGCATGCTGCCTTGTTGCCAACCTCCCTGTCTGACAGGCTCATCGCCCTTGACAACCTGCAGAGGGACGTGTGGACGCAGCTAGCCTCGGCCTATGCTCCCAGTGAGTTCCCCGCGCCACATCCGTACCAGGTGGGAGACTTTGTGTTCGTCCGGCGCCACCAACAAGAGACTCTACAGCCTCGCTGGAAAGGACCGTACCAGGTCCTATTGACTACTCCTACAGCGGTAAAGGTTGACGGAGTCGCCTCTTGGATCCACGCGTCACACCTAAAGCCTGCCTCGGCACCAGTGGACGGCTCCTGGGAACTCAAACGGTCTGATAACCCCCTGAAGCTAAAGTTGCGCCGAAGGACCCCCTGAGATTATTCAGAGTACTACCCTTATGTGTCCCTCTAAGATGACCCGTATGGGACCCCAGACTTTAACCCTCCGGGCTCTAATGGGATTACTTATATTAATAATCCCCACTGTAGCTAGCCCCCATCGCCCCTGGAAATGGTCGTTAATACGATGGGGGGACTCACGTGTGGGTAGCACCTGGGAAGGATCAGGAAGTCCATGGTTTGCGCCCACACCCTGTTGGTTCTTTCCAGGGCTCCAATGTCCCAAACAAAGTCATTTTTATCTTTGTCCCGCACCAACCGGGAGTAGATCATATTGTAATTCCCCAGGAGAATATTTTTGTGCTTATTGGGGCTGTGAAACCGCTGCAACAGGATGGCAACCCGCCTTCCCCGATAAACACCTTAAAATGACATGGGGGCCGCCAGGATGCAGCCTAGATAACTACCCACCGGCTGGTCAGAGATCCTGTCAGGTTCTAAATATCACTGTCACCACTCCTGAGGACCCAGGTTGGCTGACAGGACGCACCTGGGGACTTCGAGTCTATGAGCCAGGTAAAGACAGGGGAAGCCTTATTCTCATAAAAAAGGTTCCCCTGCAGGCCCCATTTGTGCCCATAGGCCCAAACTTTACTCTAAAGCCAAAATATAATCAGCCTACTATAGATCCTGTTACTACTGTTCAAACAACCATAGTAAGTCCCTCAGCCATAACAGTTTCTCAAGCTCCGCTACTCCAGACAGATCACGTACCTGTCCCTCAATATTCACATTCTAACCTACTCAGTTTGATTAAAGGAGCATACATGGCTTTAAATCATACCCGACCTGATCTCCCCCAATCCTGTTGGCTATGTCTAAGTCCTAATCCCCCGTATTATGAGGGAACCGCTCTAAATGACTCTTATACACTAACCCCCAACCCCGGCCAATGCGATTGGAATCAAGTATACCACACTCTCCCCCTTCCTGGCCTCGCTGGTCAAGGAACTTGTATAGGAGCAGTTGATAACTGGCCAACAAGCTTGGGACATCTTTGCCTCACACACACTAATTCCTTTCCCAAAGATCAGTACCTCGTCCCTCCTACTGGAGCCTTTTGGCTATGTACCAATGGGCTCACTCCTTGTGTCTCCACTAACGTCCTCCTTGCAGACAGCAGCTCCTGCATCCTTATAGACCTTATGCCACGCATGAAATATCTCCCCCCTAACACGCTCCCCCTCATGGGAGGTCGATATAAACGAGAACCTGTCTCCCTGACCCTAGCAGTCCTATTGGGGATAGGTGTGGCGGGGGGGATAGGAACTGGCACAGCAGCCCTCATTACTGGGCATCAGTCTCGCCAACAGCTTCTTGCAGTAGTAAACCAAGATTTACAGGCCTTAGAAACTTCTATAACTGCGTTACAACAATCCCTCTCGTCTCTATCTGAAGTAGTGTTACAGAACAGAAGAGGCTTAGATCTTCTATTTTTAAAAGAAGGCGGTCTCTGCGCTGCAC